GGATGGGGTGGCCCAGCTCCAGTGTCTGTGTGTTGGGGGGCCGCACAGGGATTTGAGACAAAGGTTGTTGCATCTCATCCTGCCCTTTTGGAAAGAGTACTATTAGCAGTTTAGAGCAAGACTGTTCCCACCAGCTTAGCAGGGGTGTCTATAGTGAAGGGGAAGCTGGGGTGACAAGCAAGATGTGTCATGTTCCCAGCAGAAGAGGGAATCACCTTACAGCGCCACTGGAGCTGTGGGAGGGCCGGCTCAGAGTCATCTTGGGGATGGAAGTGCAGTGCCTTCAGGAGGAAGGACGCACTGACTGGGATCCTGGAGGCCGGGCCCAAACATGGAGGAGCCCAGACCCTGAGGGGCCCAGACCTCAACGAGCCAGATCCCGAGGAGCCAGACCCCGAGGAGCCAGACCCCGAGGGGCCAGACCCCGAGGAGCCCAGACCCCGAGGGGCCCAGACCCCGAGGAGCCAGACCCCGAGGGGCCCAGACCCGGAGGGGCCCAGACCCCGAGGAGACAGACCCCGAGGAGACAGACCTTGAGGGGCCCAGACCTTGAGGGGCCCAGACCCCGAGGGGCCCAGACCCCGAGGGGCCCAGATCCCGAGGAGCCAGACCCTGAGGAGCCCAGACCCCGAGGAGCCAGACCCCGAGGAGCCAGACCCTGAGGAGCCCAGACCCCGAGGGACCCAGACCCCGAGGAGACCAGACCCTGAGGGTCCCCGGCCCTGAAGGCAGCACCTGCAGCAAAGAGAAAAGGACATAAGGGGCCCAGAGCCTTTGGTCAGGCCCTTCACAAGAGCAAAATTCAGCAGGAGGCTGGCCTGCCTTGGCCACACGACTGAGCCGTGCTGGGGCCACTGAAAGAGGGTGAAGGCAAAACAAAACAATAAACTACCATGTTTCCCCCAAAATAAGACACTGTCTTATATTTATTTTTTCTCAAGAAGACACACTAGGGCTTATTTTCAGGGGATGTCTTATTTTTATTAAGTATAATACAACAATCTACATTTATTCAAATACAGTTAAGTCATCTTCTTCTGGAACCTGACAGGGAGGGCTGACCTTGTTGGTGGGGCTGGCGCTAGCAATGCGTGAATTCCTTTCCCCTAGCTGTTCCCACATGCGCAATAGGATGCCTGCCACCGTGCAAGTGCAAACGGCTGGGAGAAAGGAGGTGTGGCAGATAAAAGATATTCCAGTCTTCCTTACCTCTCTGCCCAGAAATGCAAAGCCATGCCCATCACTAGGTCTTATTATCGGGGTAGGGCTTATATTTAACAAATGCATAGAAATCCTGCTAGGGCTTATTTTTTGGGTAGGTCTTATTTGTGGCTAAACACGGTAGCAGAGATAGGAAGAAGGCACATTCTCAGAACTCCACAAACAAGGATAGTCATGCCCACTGGGGCCTTTACACTGGTGCTCACATGCCCTTTATGTCCTCACCCAAACCCAGGTGGACTGGTCTGAAAGCCTCCCTGTAATATCATCAGTGTAAAGGGTATTCCCCTGCACAATAGCCACCAGCCATGTGTGGCCATGTGCGTTTCATTATAATCAAAATCCAGTTCCTCAGTCAAGCTGGACACATTCAAGTGACTAGCAGGCAAAGTGTCCACTGTTTGGGATGGTGCAGAGGCCCCATGGCCATCCTCTCAGCAGGTTCTGTTGGACAGCGCTGGTCAGTGCTCACCACTAGCATGCTGTGGGTGCTTTACAAGCAGCTGTTGCCTGAGTGCCCCTCTGCACAAGTGGCCATCACTAGCAAGAGGGTGATTTTCCACTCTCCTCCCCTTTTCCCTTCCTGGCCACCATACCCAGGAAACTCCTACCTGCCCGGAACTCAGGTTGGGGTCTCCAGGTCCATGCAGTGGAGGGGGTAATCTCAGGCTCTGGGGAGGCCGGTTCTCAGTGCCCACTCCAGCTGCAGCCAGAGCCAACAGGAGCACCCAGAGAGGTGGCCTCTGTGTCCACAGGGTGGCCTGTGCCAGTCAGGGCCACTCTGACCTTCCAAGTGTCAAGCCTCCACACTTAGAGCATGAGGGAGTCGCACCCCATCTTTAACTGAGCCAGAGTTAGCTTCTCACCGCAGGAGGTGAGCGGGTGAAAGGAGCTTGAGGGGAACACGGACAGAGAGATGTGCTGGGGCTCCAGCTCTCCCCGCAGGCCGGCTGGGGGGGCCTCATCCACACCAGTGGGCAGGTAGCCCTCGCCGGTGGGAAGATAGTCAGCTGGGAGGACTGCTGGGGGGCTGGCCAGGCTTCCCAGCTTGGCATCTGGGCCCCTTCCCCCCAGTGCCCGGTATAGGTCCACTTGCTGTCTTCTCTCGGTGGGCAGAGCTCTCAGAGACTGCGGACTACAGCTGTCGTGCACAATGTCCTCCGCAGGGGGGGCCTGACCTTGTACTCCTCGGCCCGTTTCTGGCCAGCACAGGCGATGTCTAAAGGCTGGGATCACTGGACGAAAGACTTCACTGATGACCAGGGGCTCGGGTTCCTCAGGAGCAGATTGGGCTGTCAGGAGCCTGTCCAGGGGCAGCTGTGTCCACTCCTGCAGGAAGAGAGGAGGAAGAGGCTCATGCTGCTGTGAGTGACCCTGACAGCCACTGGTCCAGGGATCCCGGAACCTCACACAGCAAACCACTGCCTGCCTAGCCTCAGGACACTGGGGGCCCTTGACTTTGCTGGGTAAGTGACACAATCAGCCTTGTCAGGGATGTGGAGAGCAGGAGCGAGTGAGTGAATCATGAGCCAGCTCAAACTTCACCCAGGATTTTCCTTTTTTTTGAGACAGTCTCACTCTGTCACCCTGGGTAGAGTGCTGCCACAGTGCCACAGAGGTTGTCACAGCAACCTCTGACTCCTGGGCTCAAGCGATCCTCCTGCCTCAGCCTCCCAAGTAGCTGGACTATAGGTGCCCCCCACAACGCTGGCTAGTTTTTCTATTTTTAGTAGAGATTGGGTCTCCTTCTTGCTCAGGCTGGTCTCCAACTCCTGCGCTCAAGCCATCCCCCTGCCTCAGCCTCCCGGAGTGCTGAGATTACAGACCTGAGCACCCATGCCCGGCCCAGCCAGGCTGCTTCTCATGAGGGCCTAGTAAGTGGTGCTGCCGGCTTTTCCTCTCTGAGAGAGGGCACTGGGGCAAAGGGGAGGCTGGGCTTTAGGGGCACACTACACAGGTGACAAGGGGACACTAGAGTGGAGCCCTGGGTTGTCCAGGCAGGAAGGAGGTGGGAGAAGAGGAGCGATGCATTCTGGAACCTGCTGGTCATTTCTCGTCATTGGCAAACTGAGCCTTGGGAAACAGGAGGGGCCGGCATAAAGGCGTTTTAAGGGTTCCGAAGGGCCTGGGCTTTGAGCAACCCGCTGAAGGGTTCTGGGCAGGATAATGTTCCTGTCAGATCTGCTTTTTTTTTTTGTAGTTTTCAGCCGGGGCTGGGTTTGAACCTGCCACCTCTGGTATATGGGGCTGGCGCCCTACTCCTTTAAGCCACAGGCACCTCCCCAGATCTGCTGTTAAGAAAGCGCATCTGGAATAAGTTTTTGAAGATGTGGTTCATCTAATTTTGTTTGTATCAAAATTAGCTTCAACTTTGTGACGTAGTTAATTCTTGCGCCTACTTTCTCCTTCTCAGCACCCCCTCTTTTATCAGCTTTTCTGAGCTGTCTTTACTTCTTTCCAGGCTTTCCACATCCCCACCCGGTCCCTGGCTATGCTAGCGCTTCCCCTACTGGCCCCGGGCTGCGTTCCCCTCACAAGCTGCTGCCCGCTGAGGCCCTGGCCTTTACACACATTCTTTCCTCAGTGCCACCACACACCTTCCCTCTGCTGCCAGCCTCCTCCCAGCTGTCCCCTGCCATCCCCTTTTTGGCATCTCCCGCTCCAATCAAGCCCCTTGTGACTGTTCCTTACCCCTCCCATAGGGTCCCTGACACATGATGGTCTGGATTGTCCCTTTTTTCCCATAGGTCTGTAAGTCATCTGCATATAGGGACCACGTTTTAAGGGAGGAGTAGGATGACAAAAAATAGCCTCGGGACATGATGAACCCTGAGGACTAGTCCCTCTGCTGCTCTGAGGCCCGTGGAACAGTGACCAACCTCTCTGGGCCTCAGTGCTTTGATGTGTCAGCTGGCGAGTTGTGCAAGAGGATTTGGTCTGGCTCTGTGGGTGCCAGGACAGGTTTCTGCGAGGGCCCTGCCAAGCTCAGGTACGCGTGCACCTCTCGTAGGGGAGTCTGCCCCCTTTCTGTCACCATCCAGACAGGCCCTGGCATGGACCTCGGAGCTCAGCTGCTGCTGCGGATGTGGGAGCCGTGACCCAGGACAGACCCGCCTGCTGCCTTCTCTGGGCGAGGTGTCTGCTGTGAGGTCCTAGAAGCTTCTCAGCACACAACAGATCCTGGGCTGACAGCCCTTGGGAGGAGCCTCTCATACCAGCTTGCTCAGGAACCCCACGGATGCTATTTTAAGTTTTTACAAGCTGTGTGACATTCCAGGGATCGCTCAACAACTCGGCCTTTTCCACTGATCTTTAAGGCATGTGGTTTTTAGCCACATCTTAAGAAATGGCAGAGAGATAGGACGGCTGTGAGCTCGGGCACATCTGCTGATGGGGAAAGAGAGATGATTGTGTCTCTGCCGTCTGCCTCTCCCTGGCACCAGGAACATGGTGTGACCTCCAAAACAGTCTGGCCACCTCCAGGGTCCTGCCTCTGAGGCTGCCTCAGGGGGCTTCATCTTGGAGGCCCCATTTAAGCTACTTAATTTTCGCTGGTTATGTCGGAGCTCTTCAGGCACACAGGGCTCTCTCTTTTTTGTAGTTGCATAAGATCTTGTTGTAGGGATGAACCCAGTGTCCAGCCCGCTCTCCCCAGGGGACCTTTACATGAGGCCCACTTTTGCTTCCACTGAGAAAGCTGCAGGGAGCGCGGATGCTGTGTGACCTTGGGCATGTGTGCTGGTCCCTGGGACCTTCTTCCCTTCTTGCTTTCTCTAACCCCTGTGCATCTCTCAGCATCTCCCCCAGCCCTTTCTTTACACAGGCCCTCCAGTGAGCAGAGGCAGACAGAGCCTGTGAGGCAAAGCTCCCAGTTCGTGAGCCAGGTCTGTGACTGACCCAGAGCTGCCTCCGTAGGTGAGGGAGCAGTGGGCCCTTAGCAGGAGAAGAAACACCCTGCAGAGGTGACACCTGGGAGCTCAGCTGATTCACCCCTAGCACGGGGAATCCCCTCTACTTAGCAGTGGCATCCATACAAGAACGCAGGGCATGTGGAGTGTGCCCTGTGCTCAGACAGGACAGTCTGAAGCTTCACATCTCTTGAATTTTGGATGAGTCAATGCTCTGGTGAGTGTTCAGCAAATGGCAAAATATATTCTACTTGCTTTTCTATTTCTTTTGAATTAAGTTGAGAGGAGGGTGGAAGGCATGTCAAAGAAAACAGCTTTGGGGCAGAAGCTATAGGCTCCTCCACCGCCCACAGGAGCCCCACAGCTAGGCCCCTGTGACCACAGCAGGGAATGCAGGTGTGGCAGCTAGAGCCCCAGGTCTGACTCAAAGGCATCACCCCTCACCTCCTCCAGGGGCTGCTTCTTGGCCCACGTGCTGTGTGCTGGGTCTGGAACGTCCCTGCTGTACCACTGAGGTCTGAGGGCCAAAAGGAGGAGCAGCACCCTGCAGAGGAAGAAAAGAGGGACATTTGGGTAGGTCGGTAAGTCCGCGCAGATCCCTGGGGCAGTGCTGTGGGTGAGGGTGCTTCTGCAGGCAAATAAGTAAAACACAAAGACTGAGAACAAAGACGAGGCTCATCCAGGGCGGGAGTGCGTCTCCATCTCCGTGAAGTTTGGGTTGATGATAACCGGTGGGGGGCAGCTGCCTGGGGCTTACCAACTCCACTAGGGAACATGCTCAGCGTGACACTCAGCGTGACACTCAGCGTGACACTCAGCGTGACACTCAGCGCTCTGGCATTATCAAGACATGGTTGCACTCAGCAAATATTAACTGACCCTGTAAAGTGTGACCAGCATGACAGAACAGCAGACAGGAAGGCAGGGTTCCCACACCAACTACTAACATTTAGCTAACTAGAACTAGAGTATTTGCAAAGAGTTTGTAATGACAGGTAAATTATTTAAAAGTTAAAAAAAAAAACCAAAGAAGACACAAAATGATATAAACATAACAATGTTGAACATAACCAGCTTGAACATAACCATGTTTTACAAAGTCAGGAAAAAGTATTGTAGGGAAATATCAAGACTGTTAGCAGTGGATGTTATTTGGTGATCAGAGGAAATGTCTTTTACAATGTAGAAGAAAAAAAATCCTAAAGATGTTTCTTACAAATGGATGTACCTTAAATATCTTTATATGTTTTAAAGTTCAAGACTAACAGGACGGATGTTTAATGACTTGGCTTTCATAAGTCTGACGTTTAATTGGGAAAGTGTGCTTCTACAGCCTGTCTAACCTTGTGGAGGAAGAGATGTGACTATATGACCAGCTTTCCTCCAGGGAAATCTGAGCAGCGGTGCTGGTGATTCCGTGCAGATGGCGTGGGTGAGGACAGTTTCCAAGGCATGCTGGGCCAGGAAGATGGAAGTGAACTGAGTCTCTGGAGGACTGCGTGGAGCAGAGCCACCCACCTCCTGGATGCCACCCTCGTGATGCTGGTACAGGAGCGAAAGCAACTATTTCATTTGAGCCGCTGTATTTTTTTTTTTCCTTTTTTGCCAGTGGCTTAGCCCTCAGCCTAACCGATCCTCAGTATGTCTGTGAAGAGGGTGCAGGTGATCCCAAGTGACTTTGTGAATTACATTCTTTCGAGGTCTGCCTAGACAGGGAGAGCTTTGCTTTGAAGCATGTGTCACACATTGGATCTCCAACCAACGTAAAGCCTGTTAGACAAGTCCAATGGCTGGTGGAATGACTTTGAGCTGGTTTTATTTTAATCTCTTCTATTTGTAGAGCATCTGAAGAAAGCTTTGTATAGAATAACTCACTAGAATTTTTTTTTTTTTTTAGGACAGTCTCCCTTGCCCTGGGTAGAGTGCTGTGGCATCATAGTTCACAGCAATCTCAAACTTCTAGACGTAAGCAATCCTCTTGCCTCAGCCTCCTGAGTAGCTGGGATTATAGGTGCCCACCACAATGCCTGGCTAATTTTTCTATTTTTAGTAGAGATGGGGTCTTGCTCTTATTCAGGCTGGTCTCGAATTCCTGAGTTCAGGTAATCTACCTACCTTGGCCTCCCAGAGTGCCAGGATTACAGGCATGAGTCACTGAGCCTGGCCTAGAATTTTTTTCCTTACAAAATAGTATGTGTTTAATAAAGAAATATTAAGAAATAATAGTTTTAAAAAACCCTAAATCCCCTATGATTTTATCTGCAGATAGAAGCACTATTACTATTTGGTGTGTATCCTTGGGGCAGAGGGGTAAGTGCTATCTAATATCCATTTTCCCCTCTTTCATGGGAAGAAGGACCCAATTTACTGGGATGACAATAAAACTCAACTAAAAGACCACGATTTTAAGTCACCCCTGCTTTACCAAGGCCTGGCCATTGAGATGGTATCAAAGATATCATGTGTGACTTATTGATGGCTCCTTAAAAGGAAAGTGTGGACATCTCTCAGCCTTCTTCCTGTAGTTGTAGAAGGCAGGCATGATGGTGATAGATGGGTCCTGTAGCCCTTGGTGAACTTGGGGTGACCTTGAGGATGAATGCTAACATCAGCACAGTGGAGCAGAAAAAAATAGAAGGTGCCCAGGTACCCGGTGACTACAGTCCTACCGCCAGTCCTTTACCTGAGTTGGCTTCCTTTACTTGGGTGAGAAACTGTTACTAGTTTGAGTCATATTAATTTTGCCTTTTATATTAAACCAAATATGCTGATAAATTTTGCTTATGGATGTGTACAGACGCACCAAGCCTGTGGTCCCAGCTATTCACCTGAGGATCACTTGTTTCTTAAACATAATATAACAAATATCATTCATACCTTTTCATTTTCTGCGTCATCTTTAATGGATGTATCTTATGTTATAGCCTGACGTCTAGCTTGATTTAATTAACCAGTTCCTTATCGCTGGGCATTTACGCTGTTTCAAATATTTTTCTTTCATGAACGACATTTCAGTGAAAGTATTTTCTGCTAAATATCTGCAGACATCTATGATATACACAGGATAAGTTTCTAGTTCGGGTTTATTAGGTCAAGAGGTGTATTCTACCAAATTTGACACCTATTGTCACCCAATAGGGCTAAGTTTAGTCTGTCACCAATGATGTATGAGACACCCATTTCCCTGACCCAAAGCAGCAACAACTGTTAGCATAAAAAAAAAAAAACATTTATCGAATTGAAAGATGTAACTCACTTTTGCCGGAAGTACCGCGTTGAGAAAGTGGCCACCATGACAACGGCGATGCAAATACTCAGGGCCACAAAGACCTTCCAGCTGGCTCCACCTGCAAAGGAGGGAGTCTTGTGACTGGCTGAGGTCACTGAGCACCCTCTGAGCCCGGTGCTGGGTGGCTGCGCTAGGCCCTCCCCACAGCCACTGGGCAGCTGGGCTCGAGAATAAGGCCAGCGCATCTTTGTCCATTCTGTGAAGGACCAGGGGCCCCGAGGGGCCTGATTCTGTGGTCCTGCCAGGAGCTCAGCCCACAAGGGCTTAGAGGGAGGAGGTCTGGAGTATAAAGCACACTCGCCAACAGGAGCCCTGAGCTGTAGTCCTGGCCCTGCCATGAATAGACAGGGAGCTGTGGACTTCAGTTTCTGGGTCTACAAAATGACTATGATGGCTGCCTTGACGGTTGTCATAAGACTATAGAGGTGATGTATTGAAGCACAGGCAATGAACTGAATACAGCTTTCTGAACGTATAGCCATTAACTGGACCAAACCATGGGATGTGCCCTCTGCCCAGATATGGTCTTTGAAATCATGCTTATTCCTTCCCATGAAAACTACAGCATCTCATGCCTTGGAGGTTCGTTCATACACCTGACATTCACTGAGTACTGGCCACAGGCTGGGTTCTGTTAGGAGCTGGGACAAGGTGACAGAGGCATCAGCTCTAAAGAAGGCATGGATAGACCCAGGAGACACACGTGTGAACAGCCATGATGCTGCAGACATGTGTGCAAACAGGGGCACCTGCAAAACTCAGAGTCACACAGAACAGCAGAGAAGCTGCCTCTGGAGTTGCTGAGGAGGTTTGCAAAGGGCGTGATGTCGAAGGTTAGAGTGGGAGCAAGGTGAGGTGGCTCAGCCTGTGATCCCAGCACTCTGGGAGCTTGAGCAGGTGGATCATGTCAGCTCAGGAGTTTGAGACCAGCCTGAGCAACAGTAGACCCCATCTCTACTAAAAATAGAAAAAAAATAGCTGGGTGTTGTGGTGGGCGCCTGTGGTTCCTGCTATTCACCTGAGGATCACTTGAGCCCAGAAGTTTGAGGTGGTTGTGAGCTACGATGCTAAAGTACTCCACCAAGAGTGACAAAGTGAGGCTATGTCTAAAAAAAAAGAAAAGTTTAGAGTTGGAGGCTGAACAGGAGTCAGCCAAGTGCACAAGTTAAGGGAACCAGCCCAGGCAAGGAAGGGAGGAACAGCTGGGCCTTCCCGGCAGCAGCAGGCGGGCTGGGTTTGCCTTCGTGCATGAATTCTGAGATGTGTGGCAAAGGATGAAGCAAGGAGGACCCTGGTCACTGCCTGGTGTGAATCTGGGAGCGAGGCCCTCGGGGAAGTACAGAGGAGTTACAGCTGGAGTGGGGGTGTCAGCATCTAGAGGCTGCAGAGAGACTCTTCTGATGAGTGAGGACAGGCTGGCAGGGGCACTAAGCAGGGAAAACGTGTGTCTGTGTAACCATCAGGGCACACCGGCTGTCTTTAAAGTTGACTCTCACCTTGTAGACAGAACTCTCTCTCATTTCCTGGGGAACTTTCGCCAGCGGCCGTCACAGCCGTCATCCACAGGACATATGTCACCCTGGACTGCAGGCTGTTTAATGGATGTGAATTTGGGGAGACTCTATAGGGGATTTCTGGAAGAAAAAAAAAAGGAAGAAATGCATGTATTAAAGGAAATGGTTGAATGTGGCTTTTACTCATTTTTACTTTAATTTTCTATAGCTTCTTGTATATGCCTGGATCACTTTTACTTTTCAATGCTTCGTCTGATTTGAAAGGAAAAAGCATTTTGCTGTTTCCTAATAGTCCTAATCCCTCAGCACTTAATACTCTAACAGGCCCCAGACACTGTTGTTTGTAGAGGCCTCGCTTCGTAGCACAGCAAGCACATTAAATACTTTCTGTGCTAACATCTTCTGGAGGATTTTTGTCATCTTGATTCTGAAATTATTCAGCCATAGTAACTCCCTTTACTTCCCATGACTATATTGTTTCCAGTTTCTCAGGTGTATTTCGGAATTCTTAAGGAGAAAATTAGATGTGAAAATTGTTTTCAAGGTAATAGAACTGTTAAGAAGGCCAAGCTTGCAATTGATGAAATAGACATTCACTTAAGATTTTTGGATTTAGATTTTGCACTTCTTATAGGCTCTGGGTCCTGAGCTTATGGGGCTTAATACGATGATCTGCTTCAATCATTGAAAAGTAGAACGATGGTACTCAGATCAGACGCCTTTGTCTGGTGTGAGCCCAGATCCCCAGTTCCTTATGTTCCCAATGGTACTCAGATCAGACGCCCTTTGTCTGGTGTGAGCCCAGATCCCCAGTTCCTTATGTTCCCAACACCCCTGCACTTTTCTCTGCAGGAAGATTTTGGGTTTTGAGCAAAGCACTGATGTTATTTTTCTCCTCCAAGAAATATGAGTGTGGCTTTTAAACATGGATTTTAGTAAAGAGGCAATCTCCTCCCCAGGCACCTGCTGGGTGTGGGTTTGGGCTTGACCTCTCCAGGCTGGGAAGGACTGTAAAGTCCAGGCCACCACCTGGGCCAGCTCACGGAGATGACCTCCCCTGTGCGGCTGGTCAGAGGGGAAACAGATCTGAGCATGTGTGTCTCCATATCAGACCCTGGCTCACAAACTCCAGGGAAATGCAGATGAGGTCCTGCAGGCTGAATTTATTTCAAAATCCACAAATATTTACGAAGTCTGACAATTAAGTTTGTGAACTCATCCTAGAAAACGTCCTACGGACCTCTTTGCTAAATATCACTATGGTCACACCTCCCCCTTGGGAAGCTGTGCACTAACACCAGCACTAGTCCACCCTTCAGAGAAATTCTGGAACTCTTTCTTCTGGAATGGCCATCAAGGCTGTCATTATATTACCCTTGATGTCATCAAAATGTCTTCCTTTCAATATTTATTTTATCATAAAGTAAAGAGGAAGGTCACTGGGGCCCGGATCAGGGGAGTAGGGAGGGTGTTCCAATACAGTTATTTGCTTACTGGCTAAATCTCCCTCACAGAGTGTGCTGTGTGAGCAGGTGCATTGTTATGATGCAAGAGCCATGAGTTGTTGGGCAGGATTTGCAGTTAAGATTTTCCTGTTTCTCTACTGAGCATGGTCTGCTATGCTGCTCACAGTCCGCTGATGATTCTGACACACAGTTTGACAAATTTTCGCAATGTTTTCTTCCGTTCTACTTGTGACTAGTGCCCTGACCTCTCTTCATCAGTGATACTTTCTCTCCCCTGAGAAAAACCTTTAATCCATTTGTACAATGCCGTTTTCTTCATGGCATTACCCTCATAATCTTGGACTAACATGTCCCTGATTTCACTTCCACTCTTATGAAGTTTAATAAGAAATTTATGAATGTTTGTTCATTGTTTCAATTAATCTCTGACATTCTTGCAATGGCACATGAAAACCCGCAACAATAATGAAGGCCACTCAGCAAGACACAGCTGAGACACTGATGCACCACGGCCTGTGTGTGCAGAGCACCACGGCAGGGTTGTGAGCCAGTCAGCCTACACGTGGAGTGCCCGCCCTGACAACACAAAGGCACAGCCCCCACCTCACAGGGAACAGAGCCCCCCTTAACCTGGTCCTTTCCAGGGAACTGCAGGTGATTACACGATGCAGCCCGGGAATGCTGGAGTGTTAACTCCACTCCTCCCAAAGCAGCTGAGGCCTGAGCAGATGATTTAATAGCTGTGATATCAGAGCAATTTCTATATTTTACATTCTGTTGAGCAAAGGCCTTGTGGACAATTCCCAAGTCTACTCTGGCCTGGTGAAATCACTTGCGCAGACTTAAGCTATATGACTGAGCTCTGAAAGCTCTTTTCCTATTCCTAAGGCAGGGGATTAAAATATTAATTTACAGAGACCTTCTGCTATCTTGCTGCAACAAACATCAGTGAGCTTAGGGGAGTCAACCATGCCAGTGAGGGAGAGTGTCTTTTGCTCCGGGAGAGAAGTGAGATCGGAAGGGAGGGAAGGGATTTGTGTGGTTCGCTGCTGATAAAGTTTATACGCACAGGTGGTGGTATTTGAAGAACAAAACAGAAGAACAAAACTTCTGGGGGAGCAGCGAGGAGGGTGGTGTCAGTAGTCGGGTTGGCAAAACCAGCTGAGCTGTGAAATAGGAGAGAGAAAGCCAGAGGCCCAGCAGGAAATACTGGTCCTGCTGCCCAGGCTGTGATCTCTGGCAGAGATAAGGGAAGGCATCTAATCTTTGGCTGCGAAACTTCAGACTCAGGTGGGTACATGATAAAGACAGGTGTGGGAACCTGTGATTGCTGTCAATCATCTGAGAAGCTTTAGAGGGGGAGGTCAAATGATGCAGGCAAACAGCTGCATTGCCACTGAAGATGAGTGTTAACCACTGATGGACGCTGAGTTTCCCCAGGGCCGGCAGCGCTCACCACGTGCTGAGATAGGCACCGGCCACCGGGCTGTGCTCCAAACACAGGGAGGCAGCAGTGAGCAGCCCCCGGCCTCTTCCCTGCTGCTGCTCAGGGTCTGTGGGCAGGCGTGTCCAGCAGCTGGGCCTTCAGTGCACAGGGAACATAGATGAGCCCCCAGAGGGTGGTGGGCACCAGAACCACATGTGGAATTCGCTACCATGCAAATGCCCAGGGCCCTCCTGCCTGGGGCAGCACACCCGAAGGTGCCTGTGTTGCTGCTGCCTGGTGTGGGGCCTCTTCCTTCCCCAGAGGCTTTCTCTCTCTCCTCATCAACTTGCTCCCACCCACCACTCTCTCTAGAATCTGCCAGGAGGATTCAGCTATGATCTCTGGCAGCTGTGGGTCCTGGGCCATAGCAGTTAGGTCACTTCTGCGTCCTGCCCGGAGGCTGTGAGCGCTCTGCAGACAGGGAACGGCCTTACTCACAGGCACTTGCTGAGTTAGCTTGGCATAAAGCAGGGCTGTGTCTGTGTTCTCCCTGCCATTTGACTCACTTTACAATGTCCGCACATGGGCTCTGGGTCATCGGGCAGTCGCAGTATAAGGAAGGTCTTTTCTTCAATATCCATGAAAGAGACTGAAGAACCCACCGACTGCGCTGCTCTTCCTGGTTGTAAACAGGCATCTCAGCTTAAACTCCACCAATAGGAAAATTACTTGGGGGGCAAATTTCACAAGAAGAGTTTCAAACGGCCCAAGAAGAGGGCAATTGGTTCCTTATCTCTTGGGGTACATTTCAGAAATGACCCACCCTGACAGTCCCTGGGAAAAAGCCCCTCCGCTCAGTGATACATTGTGTTTATCTATGTGGGATTAAACGGGAGGCCGTGGGGCCCTTAATGGGACACTACGGAGCTGACAGAAAAGATGGGGAAAAAGAGAAGAGGTGCCCGGCCTGATGTGAGGAGCTCCCCAACAGTGCTGAGAGGCAACAGCAAGGCTGGGCCAGAAAACAAGATCCCAAGTAGATTCTTGTGTATGCACTAGTTTTATTTTATTTTATTTTATTTTATTTTTTGGAGGAAAACACAAAAAATTACTAACAGGTTAAGTGTGAAGAAAGGAAGGATTTTCATTTTAAATCTTTCTGACCCATCCAAATTTTTGCCTTGTGCAGGTAATATTTACATAATAAAAAACTAGCTTTGAAAGCTGCAAATCTCCTAAGGCCAAGAGAGAAAACCAACTCTTAAAGCTTCCCGGGTAAAAATCACCCCTGCAGGCAGATGGCTGCAGCCACACCTCAGGGCAGCCTCTGCAGCCACACCTCGGGGCAGCTTCCCTACAGCCTTCCCAGACTTCACAACTCTCGTAAAGGAATCCAAATGCTCCTTCTTTATGACAAGCTGGAAGGTGGCCAGCTGCTTACAAAATAGAGGGGAGGTCAAGAACAACAAAAGCTCTGAGCTCCAAACCTCAAACCTGGCCTGTGACTTGGAATTGCTAGGAGAATGAGTGCTCCATGAAACCACCTGAGGCAGTGCTCCAGGCCCAGTTTATTTTAACCCTTGAGTTTCATAGCTAAGAATTATTATGGGTCATACAACCTTATGTAAACTGTCTTGTATTTTGCCCATTTTCAGAAGAAGTCAATATGCTATGATAATAGCTACAAACGTGGGGGTTTAAAAGTTCTTCAAAACCATTCCTTGCAAACCTCAAGGGTCCACGAAGGTCTGACAATTCAGTTTGCAGATTCGTCCTAGAAAAAGTGCTGGTACCTCATTGCTAAATATCATTGCGGTCACCTGTGAAGTGGTCCCTCAGTGCTACTCAGCATTGAGGTATGTCCTGCTTTTTCTAGGATGAGTTTGTGAAATGAACTGTCTGACCTTGTACACAATAGCTCTGATGGCCATTCCAGAGAAAGAGTTCTAAAACGGCTTCAAAGGGTGACCAGGCGCTGGCATCAGTGCACAGCTTCCCCAGGGGAGCTCCTGGCAGGGAGCTGGAGGGATTCAGGTAGGTGAATCAGCAGTGAGGGAGGGGGTGCTTTTTCTAGGATGAGTTTGCAAAGAGCTTGTCTGACCTGTGGGCTGAAATGCTCTCTCTCCACACATGGGCTCCTTGAGAATTCATCCATTTCCTTCATTTTGTGCCCTTAGCAATTTGCTGGGCACATAGCACGTGTCCAATACCCCGCGTGTGAGTCTAGATGCCTCTTATTGTATTTCTTCTTTCAATTAAATTCACAAATATCTACTGAGTGCTCACTAAGTGCCAGGCATGATGCCCACCTGTGTTTCCTGACATCCCAGCGAGAAGGCACCATTGCGTCTGGTTCTCACACCTACCATAGAACTGAGGCTGGGAACCGGGGTCCCGCTCCTTCCAGTATATCCTGTAATTCCGGATGCAGCCTGTTTGCTCCTGGGCTGGACTGCTGTTCCATGAAATTAGAACACTCCCCTTTTCCTCTGTGACAGCATGAATGTGGGGGCCACTCCGGGGTGCTACAGAGTGGAACATGGGAGACATCCGTCACCCTCCAAAGCCACATCATTAAACTAAAGTGACACTTTGCAAAAGGTGCCGAGACTCACCCTTGTCCTTGGAGCTGCCCAGGATGGAGCTGCATCCTCCTCGGTCCCCTGACAGTGTGAACACCCGGATCTCATAGCAGACATAGGGTCTTATGTTCTCTGCAAGGAAAAGAAGTTCCTGTATCAGTCATGTCATCACCAAGGAGTCACGACCAGGAGCCATTTTAATCTCTGACACAAACATACCCAAGGCGTGCACACAGACTGCATTTGGTAAAAAACAAACTTGCCTTCCAAAATAAAAAACAAAACAACCAACTTTGAATTTTGCAAATAAATCATTTGCTGTTTACAAGAAAGTGAGGCTGAACTTTTGCAGCCACAGAACCTGAACAGCTTTTCTGATTCCCTGACGCTTATCAGGATCTGATGGGGCAGGTGCTGGACTGGGCATGGGCAGCCTGGGCCCTCTGGGAGCCGTCTGATTCCTGGGTCCCACTGCATTCCAGTGAGTTGCGTCATAGTCTGGAAGGTCTGGAAGGTACCCGGGGATGGCAAGACTTCTTCCTAGCTTTTAAAGTGACCACTTTGCAGTTTTCTGTCAGTCATGAAGCTTGCTGGCAAGTTCCTTCCTTCCTTATATCCAAGAGCCTCAGATTTCTGCTGCCTGTGAAGGAAAGTCCCCCTCACAGATACTGCTCATGACACATGGTATATCTTTAAATTCCAAAAGAAAATTAGAAGAGAAAAGAGAAAGAACCCTACTAGTTAGCTACAGTGTTAGGTGGCCAAAGCTGGGACTCTCTCCAATGTTACTGCCCTGCCGGCGGCTGGCTGGGGCCCCCACACCAAAAACTGATGAAGGCTTACACGTTCTCCTCTCAGAAAGAGGATTTCATCCCAGAGTAATGTACTAAATTGTGTGTGTGTTTCCATGAAAATCCACTGCCCCTTAAATATTTCAGCAGTTAGGCGTCTCATGAAACTCTACCGGACAGCAGTCCTGTTGGAGGAGACCCTGATGGGACCCACACTCAACACGGTGAGTTCCAAGGGGAGCTCGTGACCCAGGGGAGACAGAGAAGTCCGCGACTTGGGCATCCTGTGATCCAAAGACCCCCTCATGGGTGGCGCGAGACCCAGAAGCCCAACAGGCAACATGGAGCATGGAAGCACCTGGCAGGGCCCTGAGCAGCTTCAGCCCCACTGCCTGGCGTCTGTCCTGAACCATGGAAGGGGCCAACACGCCACTGTCCTGCGTGGCGTGTGGGAGTCCAGATGAGCTCACTGGACTGGTCAGTCCCTTGCATTTCCTCATGCAAATATGAGTTTGGAGCAGAGGCGTGGGGCTGCAGCACCAGAAGCTGTGGGGTTTTTTTTTTTTTTTTTAGTCTCACTCTGTCACCCTGGGCAGAGTGCTATGGTGTCACAGCTCATAGCAACCTCACCCTCTTGGACTCAAGTGATCCTCCGGCCTCAGCCTCCCGAGTAGCAGGGACTACAGGCTCCCAACACAGCGCCCGGTTATTTTTTTCTATTTTTAACAGAGCATTTAGTACAGATGGGATCTTGCTCTTGCTCAGGCTGGTCTTGAACTGCTGAGCTCAGGCAAACAATGGGCCTCGGCCTCCCAGAGTGCTGAGATTCCAGGCGTGGGCCATTGCGTCTACCCAAAGCTGTGGGTGTCTTCTTAAGGCTGGAAGAGGAGAGATGAGGTGGCTCAATGACTCGGCCAACCTTTCCTTCCTGCCGAGAGGAGAGGCCTCCCAGCAAGCTGGTTCCTGGCTCTGGCCTGGGGGACTCCTGCTGTACCAGCTGATTCTTGTGTGAAGGTTCCCTCTTGATGACATAGCTCCCCAGCCCAAAACCTGAGTGGATGAAGCCCACACTCCTGAGACGATCAGTTCCTTTCTAGAATGTGACTCCAACTCACAACTCCTCTGACATACCCACATGGCACACTTGGGGACAGTCTCTGGCTCCACAGTTCTAAACCATCCCTGAGGTGGTTTTCCTGCAGAAAGGTAACTTCGCCTCTCAGGTGTGAGACGAGGCAAACGTTGGATGATGAATGACAAGGAGCAATTCCAGAGGCCACAGTGAGGTGGGGAGGAGGGAGCCCTCATCAGCGTAGGCATCAGGGAGGTTTCTGGACACCGTGAGGTTACGTGTTTGTAAAAGGAGGGGCTCTCCCTGCGCAGAAGTGCTTTCACCATGAAGGCACAGCACTGGCCTCAAGCCTCCACCAGCCCAGGAGCCAGGAGCCAGGCTGTCCTCTGGCCCACTCCACAGTACCACCTCTGCCCCAGCCAGATGCCAGGGACAGCTGCGAGTGGCTGATCACAGTGAGAGCCCCTGAGGACGGAGAAGGCCATTTTGAATTTAGAGTAAGTATGGGTCACTGAATTTTCAGGTGGGTATATCCAGACTGCAACATCAACATAAACCAATAGTTTATTCAAATGAGTATTTCTAAAGTGCCTAAAAACATTTTATTTCAGTAACTATGAAAAACACTCTCTCTTGCCATCAAATTTAAGGGATCTGTACAGAACTACAGAGTTTCTAGAAGGAAGGAACTGTAGGGACTGCATGGTTCAAACTCTCCTGCAGGGCTAAGTCCTCTTGCAGCTTACAATGTTTACAATTTCACAGCAGCTTAAAGCTAAGTAAATACTTTTTTATCCACTATTTCTTCTGACTTGATGGGCACAACAGCCTTGAAGGAACATTGGTTTTATTACAAAAACTCCAAGGAGAGGGAAAATGCTGCTTTGGGAGGTAATCAGTTGTCCTGGTAAAGACCATCCAGGGTGGGAAAGTTATTTCTCAAAACTGAGCTGCCATCTACCGTGTTATTATTTCCACGAAGAACAGCAAAGGAACCACAGACCCTTTGGCATGTACACGTCAAAACCAGAAACAGCCACCAAGCCGCCCACCCCATGTCCCCTAGAATTCTCTTCTCTAGGCTAAATGGTTTCCAGAGTAAAAGTTCCAGCTCCCAAGGACTCGCTCTCCTCCCTCTGAATGCTCTCTGGGTTATCGGAGTAGCATTGTCTTTTTTTTTTTTTTTTCAGTTTTTGGCCGGGGCTGGGTTTGAACCCACCACCTCCGGCATATGGGGGCCAGCGCCCTACTCCTTTCAGCCACAGGCACCACCCTGAGCAGCATTGCCTTTAAGAGTGGTGATGACAGCGTAGCCTGCTGGAAGTCTGGGCAGGCAGACCAAGAAGCACACAGTTAAGGGATGAACTTGGGCATCATCACACTCTGTGCTCTGTTTATTTCCTTTGTATAAATCTTGTCCACTTAGGCTGGATGTGTGTATCCTCTGAAACAGGTATAATGACTTGTCGTGGTTTAATGGAAGTGTTACGGGAAGGTGAGCTTGAAGATCTATTCAAGTCTTAGTTCTGTTGCATTTAATAATGGCAACTAAGTTACTGAGCACTTAGACTGTGTCAGGCACTGTTCAAACACTTTCCATACAGTCATACAATGAGTCTCATGAAGACACAATGAGGTAGGTAATATTACTCCCACATTTGGGGGGATGGTGAAACTGAGGCAGAGAATTTAAATAATTTTCCCTAGACCATGCCAAGACTCAATCCCAGGGAGTCTGGCTTCAGATAAAGAACTTTAGCCACTACACTGTACTCATGCTTGGAAATGACATTAACTTCTTATTCCACTAGCTATAGCTTTAAAAAAAAAAAGACATTAAGCTCTGCCTAGTCATTTTAGTATATTTTTAGGTGTGTCCTCTTGCTTGCTTCTAACCACTGATAGACTAGGGACCCGAGGACTAGGACACCAGTTATCATATAGATCATTGGTAATGAAGGATGTCCTGGCTTCCTCTTCCTACACTGGGGAGCTAATAGCACATGATTGTTCTGGAAATTAAATAAACTCCCAAAGGCAACAGTGCCTGTTGTGTTGACCTGCCACACGAGGTCTCAGCCACACTTGTGTGGATCGGTGAGTCATCCATGTTATCTGGGACTCTGCTGGGGACATGGATTTTCCATGGATACTAAATGTTTCAGCCCTCCAGGCCACAGGGGTGTATTCTGAGGGGCAGCCTGGCTGGACACTAGGCCATCACTGCCCCTCTGATCCTGCTGCCTCCTGTAATTGAAGGCAGGTCTTAGACTCTTGCCCACAGTTCTCCCAAATAAATAAGAACTTAGTCACCCTTCAGAAGGAAGGCCGACAGTCAGGTACCTGAGATCAGTGCAGACACACTGGAGGGAGGGCTCCGCAGCCAGTTCAGAGGGGGCTGTGAGTCCCCTCCAGGCTGGAACTCCCTCCATTCCACCACGTACTGGCTGACGGCAGAGGGCGCCCTCCTGGGGGGCTGCCAGCTGACCACCATGCTGTCCTCACCTTTGGAGTCCGCAGAGACCTGGCCAGGAGCCAGCAACTCTGTATGGGGGAAGAAGAGGAGGCACAAAATGACGTGGAAGTCCAGCTCATCCCAGCAGTTTTAGGAAGACTCATCATCTGTGTATGGGTTTCAGGGTCCCAGGTTTAAGCTCACCCTACTTCCCAGTGCAGGGGAACTAGCGCTGTAGGCGTGTGCAAAGATCCCGTGTGGTCTTAGTCACAGAATTATTTCCCCCTTCATCTTTCACTCCTTTTTCCATTCCTGGGTCCCCAAAGTCGCCCACTTAGGGAATGTAATACGCATCCTTCTCATTCCATTTCATGGATTTACTTAAACGCGTATCTATCCTTGAAAATGAGCGTGGCTTTGCCCTCGTGCTGACTTTCCCATGAAAAATATTGGGAAACAATCTGAAGCCTTTTCTGACTTTTTCCCACTAAACATCATGTTTTCGGGAGGGATACCCTGCAGCTCAGCGTAAGTGAATTCATTTCTCTGGACAGCGGCCTGTCTGTGACCGCTCGGTCGTTAAGTGGCAGACGGGACGTCCCTTTGAACTGTTAGCAAACATGAACGGGGTGGAGGGGGTATTCTCCCGCATGCCTGGCAAGCGTGCGCCTACGGTATGTGGGTAGAACAGCTTGACTGTGGGGTCAACTTATGTGCTATTTCACTGAACCCTGCCAGATGGATCTCTAAATGGCCAGTTGACACTCCAACAAGAAAAGCATACGGGTTGTCATTCCCCATCAGTAATTGTTACTTTTCCTAACCTTTGTCAATAGGGCATGAGTAAAGTAGTATTTATTTATTTATTTATTATTAATTTTTTTGAGACAGAGTCTCAAAGCTCGGCCATCTGCAGGCACAGCCACTTCCCGTCTCCCCTCTCCAGTTAGGTTTGAAGGGTTTGCTTGACGTTGCCCTGCCCAGCCTGCTGGACTTTCCTGCCCCACTGTGGAGATGCCCAGACAGTGATCACACCAGGGCAACGTGAGCAGGAGAAAAGAGCACGACAGATGCCCCGTGGCGCCCCCTCGTGGCTCCCACCAGCGAGAACTCAGCCATCCCTGTCTCTCTCTCTTGCAGCGTTGCCAGGGACAGGCTTGATGGTCAGAGCCTCCACTGTGCACTGACCGTCCTGCCAGGAACTCAGTTTCCCAGCGTTGGCTCCTTTGTGCTCATTTCCCTTGGTATCTGATAACCTTGTTAGGCTATGGGACTTCTTTTTTAATGAATTTATTCATTCAGTAAATATTGACTGAACCCTCCAGTTTGTTTGCAAGACCCTTTGCCAGGTGCTGGGATAAAGCAGCCGACCGCCTTTCTAACCACTGCCCTCCCTGGCCGTAGCTGAGGGGATCCACCAGGCAGAGCCCAGCTCGCCGGCCTCTGAGGCACCTCACTGCTCAGGAACCAGCCTGGCGACTCCTCCCCCTGACATTTGCCAGGACATGTTCCTCCTTCAATCTCTGCTAACAACTCACTTTCTCCTCATTATCTTTCAGAATTATTCCATTAGCCCCAGTCATTCAACTTCCTGTCTCCAGTTTTGCCGGACACTTCTTTATGGAGTTAGGAGATGTAACAAGCCTTTAAAGAAAGTGTCGCCCAGAGACAGGCTGCCTGGTCTTGCCCACCTCTGTGCTGACGGGTGTGTGATCTCAGTGGGGCCACTTTGCCTCTAAAGCCCCAGCCTGTATTGCTGTGGAGTCCCTGGTTGTGGCTGCACTGGGTTCTGACCTCCCGTAGATCCCAGCCTCTCGGTCTCTCAGACACTCAACACCTTTTGCCTATTGGCTCCTGGGCATAGCACACTTTCCATTTCTCCATAACCACCAAAGTCATTCTTGTGCCTGTTTATTTTTTTATTTTTCAAGACAGAGTCTCACTTTGGCACCCTTAGTAGAGTGCTGTGGCGTCATAGCTCATAGCAACCCAAACTCTAGGCCTCAAGCCATTCTTTTGCCTCAGCCTCCTGGGACTGCCGACGCCCGTCACAACACCTGGCTATTTTTAGAGACGGGGTCTTGCTCTTGCTCAGGCTGGTCTCAAACCCGGGAGCTCAGGCAATCCACCCACCTCAGCCTTCACTAATGTGCCTTTTTAAAAGATGGTTTTTGGTGTTTTACTATTTCAAACATTTTAGCAAATGCCTTTGTATTTACATTTTTAAGTACTTTTTCTTGGTTTGATGTAGTTTTTCATGTTTTCTCGAAGTTTGTGTCCCATGGATTGCTAGTTAGGCTAAGCATGTTTTTACATTTTTATCACTCCTTTTATACATTTTTTGAGTTGCCTTTCATATAGTTGAAAAAGTTATGGATAGATACAGACATAAATATGTAGACCGATAGATATCAACTCTTTTTCTGCTAAAAGTATATATTTTTCTATGTATTTTTCTTGACTTGCTATTTGCATTTTAAAGCTTTTTGTATGGAGTCTTTGAAAAATTTACTATGCATAAAGCTGAAGTTTTTTCTTTATTTTTGGTTTTGAGGCAGTCTCACTCTGTCACCCTGGATGGAGTGCCGTGATATCCCAGCTCACAGCAACCTCAAACTCTGGGGCTTAAGCGATCCTCTTGCCTCAGCCTCCCGAGTAGGTGGGACTACAGGCACCTGCCACAACACCTGGCTAGTTTTTCTATTTTTAGTGAAGATGGGGTCTTGCTCTTGCTCAGGCTGGTCTT